CCGGGCTAGGCTCCAGCTGTTGAGAAGCTGCCCACTTTATGTCTTCTTTCTGCTATCCCTTTAGGTCCTAGCTGGACTGCTGCACCTCGGCAACGTCCGGTTTGCTGACTCTTCGGACGAAGCTCAGCCCTGCCAGCTGATGGATGATGCCAAGTGTGAGGGCAAGGGGCTTTATTCGCATACCCAGGGAGCCAACATTGGTGGGATTGGATGGGAGGCCAGAGGGTAAAATTTGGAGTCGATACCCTTGATTAAACTATCAGCTGTAGGGCCCTGTCCTGGATAAGTTACTCCTCACTCAATCTCTGGTAAGGCAGGCAGCATCATCCCCATTTTATAGATAAGCAAGTAATAGTTGGAGGGTCTATAAAGTGATTTGTCCCACATACAGCAGTATGCACTGGGACACAAGTCCTAGGTTCAAGTCCTGCCTCTGGCAAGTCTCTTCACTCACCAGAACCTAGGTTTTTCTGTTCATTTGAGTGGGTCGTCGTTCCACTGCAGTGACTTCACTATGCCTTGTGAAGAGGGCTGTTTGGATGGAAGGTGATTTGTCCCTCCTAGGTTCTGTCAGGACATTGGCCTCACTGCTGTGGCTCCCAGAAGACCCACTGCTGGAAACACTGCAGATTAGAACCATCAGGGCAGGCAGGCAGCAGCAGGTGTTCCGGAAGCCCTGCTCCCAAGCTGAGTGTGACACCCGCAGAGACTGTCTGGCCAAACTGGTCTATGCACGGTGAGCACTCTGTGCCCTGCCCTTCTCCCAAGTTCTCCCCCTGTCCAGAGTTGAACTGGACACTGTCGTTCCCTTGGCCCAAGCCCAGGGGTAGGGCTGCCAGGTAAAGGAGACAGGTTTCCCTCTCTGTTCCCCAGACCCTCGAGGATAGCAGGGAGTGGTTCCTGGGTTTTTCCAGAGCAAGGCCCTTGGCCTCAATTCCAGAGTACTCTGCGTGGGCAAGTTGCCACAGCCTGGCCTAGATTCAGCTCATTGTTAAGGTACAGGAGCCTGCCTTGACCTTGGTGATAAATGAGGAAAGCCTGCCTAGCTCTCTGAAAGGCAGGCCCCAAAGGTGATCTAGGGCCTTTCCACGTTCAGACCCGAGGGTAAATAGGCTCCTCTGTCTCCACGTGCCTTTGTACTTCAGTTCTTTGTAGTCACCTGGGGAATGCGATAGATGGTGGTAGAGCCAGAAGCTCAATCCAGGTCTTGGCTAGCATAATGTGCAGCAAGCGAGAACCCAAACAGGGTGAGGGTGGAGATCCTGGCCTTTTCCTGGTGGGTTATATGGGCATCTCCACCCTGTGGCCATATGGTTAAGGGTGGTTTCTTACCCTGGGTTCTGAGAACCTTCAGGGTGCCATGTAAGGCTGTCAGGGGGTCCAGAAACCTTTGAAATTATGGGATAGAACATGTGTGTGTATGCATGTGCATGTGCTTATGGGAACTTGGGCATGTGAGGAGAGGGTCCCTCTGCTTTCATTAACTTCCCAAAGAGCCCAGAGCCTGAGAAGCACTGCTGAGGGTTTAAAATCTTCTGAGTT